GGAACGCCCTTCCTTCTTCTGACCTCCTAGACCAAGGTCAGGGTGAGACCCTTGCTCCGCCCAAGCCTGCGGGGATGGCAGGCCAGTGAGGCTGTGCAGTCGCCTCTGATAGCCTCTGACTCCCAGCACCGAGTGGAGGTGCAGGGCCGGTGCAGCCTTAGCCCTGGCAGGGGGTTCAGCCCACACCCATGTCTGGCATAGGAGGAGGGTCATCCTCCTGACTCAGGATAACTGGCTGGTGTGGGGTCAGGCTGTGGGAAGAACTGGTCCTTCCTCCAGGACCTGGGTCTGAGTGGCAGACAGGAGGAGGGGAAGGTTTAGCAGTGCTTGCCTAGCAGGGCATTGCCAGCTCCCTGGGCATGGTCTCTGGCCCACCTAGCAGAGGCTTACAGAGAGCTGTGACTTTTGCTGTGACAGGTTCTAATACCCCGCCTGTTATTCCCACCGACTGCACAGTCTAGGCAGACCTTCTGCAGCTAGAAGCCCCCAAAGGGCCCCAGTGTGACCCAGTGAATGAGATGATTGCCATTTCCTTCCGCTCAAGTCCCGCCTCCCACTGCTCTCTGACCTCAGAAATCCTCCCCTCCTGGCTTCCCTGACCCAGTGTCTATCCCTTCCCTTCTCCCTGCCACACTATCTCAGCCACCCTGCCACCTCCGCGTTCAGTACACATCTTCACACCGCGGGTTTTCCCAATATACTGGCTATTTTTTTTTTCCTGCAAAGAAGTTCCCCTCCCTTGTCTGTCTGGAGAAGTCCTGTTCATACAGCACGGCCTGGCTCTCATTGTGGTTTCCTGTCACTCAGATGTGTTATGCTGTCACTTACTCAAACAGATGTGTGGGTCTTTCATTTATGCGCTCTCTGAACTTTAGGTGCATGTATGTAAATATTCGTGTAGCTTTTCCTTAAGCTGGCCTTGTCCACTGGAGACCGGGGACACGGCGAGGTCTGAGGGGGCTCCGCTCTGGTGGGGTTGTGTCTTCCTGGGGAGGCGTCATTGCAGCACTGGGAGAGACGTGCAGGGAGAGGCGTGGCAGGCCTCCTCTTCGGACCTGGAAGACTTCGGTAGGAGGTGCCAGGATCCAGGCCTGGTCTGTTGTGTGTGGGGTGGGTTGAGGCTGGGGGATGAGCAACAGAAGAAGCACTTTAAAAAGCTTAAACCAGCAGGGATCACCTCTGTGTGCTGTGGCTTTGTGTCATTACTCGAGTGAGAAGGGACCATGCCTCTGCAGGCTCTGAGCTGGACTGCCTGGGCTCCTGTTTAGACTCTGCTCCTCACTGGGCTGTGACTGGGCGAGGACCTCCCTGCCAGGCTTTCTCACTGACAGGGTTCCCCCGGAGAGACCAGTTTGGCTGTGCGTGTCCCGGTTCTCCTGGAATGACCTCTTCCTCTGGCAGGGGGTTTAACCAGCAGGGCTTCTGAAGATGGACTGTCTCGTGCCCTGTTCCTTATTGCTGTGTGATCTTGGCCCAGAGGATTAACCTCTCTGAGCCCCCATTTCCTGTACGAATGGGCCTGGTATGTGGCTGAGCTGGTGTGGGGAGCAGAGGTGTGGTCCTTGGGCACAGGTGGTACATAATCACTGATGAGGAAGTGTCTGATAAACTATGATGAAAATTGGTCCATAGCTTTGTCACCACTCACTCAATTTAGAGACCCTCTGTTGACCTTCTAGCCAACCATGGACCTGATCGTAAGCAGCGGCACTGGCAGGTGAGCTGAGCTGTGTGAGCATCAGGGATGAAGGGATGCATTCTGGGTCAGCTCAGATCCTACTGGCTGTGTGACCTTGGGCACATCCCTTAGCCTCTCTGTGCTCAGTTCCTTTTTCTGAAAATGGGAATGAAGGTCACATAAGGAAAAAAGGTAATCATTGCTAAACCTCCCACTCCTGCCACGAATGATCTCTTTTAGCTGCGCAGCACCATCAGGGTAAGCATGCTGAGCACCTTCTGGGCAGAGCTCAGGGCAGAGTGGGACTCCCCAGTGGGGCTCCCTCATGGTGGGCCTTCGATGTCCCACTGCGGCCTGCAATGACCTTCCTACCTGGCCAGTGCGAGAAATGAGTCTGAGGAGTCTTCTGGGTGTTCTGATGGAGTATGGCACCGTAAGGTCTGCCGTGGCCACTCCTGTGCTGTGGCTGGAGCTCAGGAAAGGTTCCCAGGGCTGAGCAGCCGTGGCATCTCGCTGTCCTGGCTCTAGCCATGGATACCTTCAGAAAATGTTTCCGTGCTTTTCCAGGGCCCTAGGTCAGCAGGGAGAGAGGGACAGGGAAGGGGACTCGGGCCTCATGCTGTGAGGAGTAGGTCTGGGGTCCCTCCTGGAGGAAGAGTGCAGGAGGAGCCAGGGAGCCAGTGAGCATGCTGGTTCAGAATCCTCGCTGGAACACGGAACAGAGAAGTGGAGTGAGAGCACCCAGGGCAGCTCAGAGTGAGGGGGGCAGCCACTCGATGGGGTCGGGGCGCTGCTCCTCCCTTGGGTTGGTATTTACTGTTCAGAACCACAGGTAGTGTCCTGCTCAGAAGTTTACAGAAAAGCATTGACAAAAATGCCATTTTTCTTCATTATACCAGCTAATGTTTATGAAGCACTACCCAGTGTCAAGGTCTAGCAGAAATCAGTAAGCTACAGCCTGCCACCTATTTCTGTAAATAAAGTTTTAAAAATATTTTTGGAAAGTTTATTATTCTGAGAGAGAGAGAAAATCCCTGACAGTATTTTTTTAAAGAGAGATATTAACTGTAGAATATGTGTGCTCACCAAAGAGACAGAGTAGAGAGAGAGAAAGTAAGAAATCCCCCTTGGGGGATGGCCATGTCGCAACCCCTTCTCTTCCATTCTCCTCTCAGGATCTTGGGCATGCACATACACGTGCCCAGTGTGAGTTTTAAGCCGCTGGGTCCAGAACTTGAGCCGGCTGGGCATGCAGGAATCCGGCACTGTAACCACTGTGCCACCTACTGACCCTGACCGTTCTGATGTGCTATTCATCCACCCTCAGCCTTAGCCAGCCTGCATCGTGGGTTCACGTAGGACCAGTGTATTCTGGGAGGTCTCCAGACTTGGACCAGCAACCTCCGCATGTGAGTCTGCCTTGCGGAGCATTGTGTTTTACTATTGTGCCACTGTCTGGTCCCCTAGAAATAAAGTTTTATTGGAATAAGCCACACCCACTCATGAACGTATGCTCTATGGATGATTTTGTGCTACACTGGCAGACGTGAGTGCTTGGACGCCCACACATTTACTGCCTGGGCCTTGGCAGGAGGGGTTTGCTGCCTCCTGGACTGGGCCTTCCCCTGACCTGACCGAGCTCATTCAGCCCCAGGGACAGGCTTTCCTGGTCTTCCCTTTCACAGATGGTCTCCTCTCAGGATCTTGGGCATGCACATACACGTGCCCAGTGTGAGTTTTAAGCCGCTGGGTCCAGAACTTGAGCCGGCTGGGCATGCAGGAATCCGGCACTGTAACCACTGTGCCACCTACTGACCCTGACCGTTCTGATGTGCTATTCATCCACCCTCAGCCTTAGCCAGCCTGCATCGTGGGTTCACGTAGGACCAGTGTATTCTGGGAGGTCTCCAGACTTGGACCAGCAACCTCCGCATGTGAGTCTGCCTTGCGGAGCATTGTGTTTTACTATTGTGCCACTGTCTGGTCCCCTAGAAATAAAGTTTTATTGGAATAAGCCACACCCACTCATGAACGTATGCTCTATGGATGATTTTGTGCTACACTGGCAGACGTGAGTGCTTGGACGCCCACACATTTACTGCCTGGGCCTTGGCAGGAGGGGTTTGCTGCCTCCTGGACTGGGCCTTCCCCTGACCTGACCGAGCTCATTCAGCCCCAGGGACAGGCTTTCCTGGTCTTCCCTTTCACAGATGGCCTCAGAAGGGTGCTGAAGCCCGACAGGCTCACAGAGCTCGTGTCCGGAGCAGGGATTTGAAACCAAGAAGCTCACATTCTTTTTGGTTGTTGATGTTTCTCAGGGGATTCATAGTTTTTATTAGCATCTAATTAAACTTTATTATGTTCAGAGAATGTGGTATGTATGATATTTATTTTTAAAAATTGGTTGACAATTTCCTAATGCTTAGTACATGAACAATTCTGAGAATATTTTTATGTTAAACATGTATATATTTAATATTGAATGATGGTTGGCGTATTAACATCTCCAAGTGTGCTGTTGAGTGGGATTAAGTACATTCACATTGCTGTTCAGCCCTCACTGCCCTCCGTCTCCAGAACTTTCCGTCATCCCAGACCAGCAGCCCGTGTGCTCAGCCACTACCCATGCTGCGGTGAGGGAGTTCTGTGGGGAAAAGCAAACGTTAGCGGCGTCATATTTTAGCTGAGAAGGCTTTGGCGTCAGCCGTGGGCTTGAATGCCAGCTCTGCCTTTACCAGCTGATCTTGTTCAAGCATTGCACCCCTCTGGGCCCTCCACAACTCAGTGTTCTCACGTGGTGCCTGGGGGTGACCTGGTCCCCATCCCTGCAGATCCCATGATTGTGAGCGTTGGATCAAAGGACCGATTTGAGGCTTAGTCTAGCATTGTCAGTGGACAGTAGCTACGATGCGTAATCCTTCAGACAGCGTACCTTGGCCTGGTGTTGGGTCAGTCCATTTGTTCCCCTCCATGTGGCCTGAGGTGTCCCCTTTGGCCTTCTGGGGGCCTGGAAGCATCCATATGGCCCCACACACTTACTACAGCTCCCTACCCCACTGTGAAGGACCTGATGCTGGGGGTGCAGGCCCCCTGCTCTCCTCTCCTCCACAAGGCAGACTTGGCTGAAGGGCCATTTTAAGGAATGAAAGGGGCTCTGTGTGCACCAGCCGAGGACAGCCAGGGCTGCTCATTGTGGCCGTAATGCCCTTGTGTGTGCCAGGTCAGAGGGACGCCCTGGCTCGGCCCATTGGCTCCGAGCTTCTCGCTGGGCTGTATTTTGAGTCAGGACCCTGTGTCCCTTCCTCGGGCTAGAGAGGGTGGACACCACTAAGGGGTGTCCCGCTTCCTCGGAGGACTGAGGCCGCCACAGCGGAGACGAGGAGCTGTCTGGTAACGTAGCCTTCCTCTTCCCTCAGCCTTGGAACCTGTCTTCTGCACTCTGATCTGTTGCTTCTGGAGGCTGGTTGCTTGGCTTTGCTTGCTCCAATATGTGGTTTTATTTAGGGGGATCACAACCTGCATCAGCTGTTGAAACAGTTCCCACCCCCCTCCCCCTTCTTTCCCCTTCACCCCCTTTTCTTAAAATGAGCAGGAATCCACATAGCGGAATCGACCATTTCAAAGTGCACATTTCAGGGGCATTGGCTTCATTGACGGTGTCATCCAGCCTTCGCCTGGATTTACTATAGTTCTAAACCATTTCTTCCTTCTCAGAGAAGACCCCCGTTCCCATGAGGCATTACTGTCTGTTCTCCTTTCTCCCAGCCCCTGGCAAGCACTCATCTGCATGCTTTATGGACGGGCAGATTCTGGATATTTTATGTAAACAGAACCCTACAGTGTGTGGCTGTTGTGACTGGCCTCTTTCCTCTTGCATGATGTTTTCAAGGACCATCCATTCTGGAGCATGTGCAGTGCTTCATCCTTTTTTATGACTGGATAGTATTCCATTTTGGGGACATACCACAATTTGTCTATACCACAATTTGTCTATGTTTTTGGTGATGGACATGTGGGTTGTTTGCACCTTTTCGCTATTGTGCCTAGTGTGTGAGGCAGTATTACGGTGTGAATCTTCTCCTCAGGGCCTTGGCTGTTCTGTTTGCTGGCGTTCTTGCTCTCTCCTCACCCTGCTCATTAATTCATCAGCTTAACCACTCACACAACACTCGTTAATGCACCCTTCATGTGGGCTCTGGGCTGGGAACTTACAGTGTGGACTTGTTCTTAAATTCTGGAGAATGGTTTGTTGGTTCCTCATTCTCCAAGCAAGAGCGTGGGAGCACCCTGAGATGGGAGGGACGAGGCAGGGGCAACCACGTGGCTGGCAGAGGCAGCTGGCACGGTGCAGGGAGCACTGGCTGCCTTTCTGTTGGCTCCTAGAACACGCTGGGCCCTCTTCATGCCTGGAGTGTTTGCTGTTTGCTGTCTGGAATGCTCCTCCCCTGCCCTGGCCCAGACTTGTCTTCTTATTTATTTATGAGAACGATTTCTTTATTTAATTCCAGTTGTTATTATTATTTTTTAATTTGACCAGAGAGAGAGAAAAGGAGTGAAAAAGCAAGCTGCCAGATCCAGGATTTGAACCATGGTTGGCCATGTGGGAATCCAGTGCCTTCATCACCACGCCACCTGCCAGCCCTCATTTATTTATTTATTTTAATCTTCTTGGGGAGATCTTCCTTGACCATCCCAGGTACATGCTCAGCCTTCCCATCCCCCTAGGCCCATTTTCTTGTGAGAATCATCAATGATCTGAATTTTTAAAAAATTTTTTTATGTGTGCAAAGGGACAAAGCATATATGGGACCTGGTCTTGCTGCCATCCTTTTTCCTCCAGTTCTCCATTCCCTCAGGATCCTGGGCACAACACGTGTGTTTTTCAAGCCACCAGGGCTGGCATGCAAACCCTGGTAGGCCATTTGGGATTCAGGTTCCTCTGCGGAGCATTTAGCCATTGTATTATGGGCCTGGCCTTGACCTAAAATGATCTATGCATGTGTGCATGTATGTGTGTGTGTGGTGTTTGTGCATGTGTGTGTGTGGTGTTTTCTAAGACAAGGTCTCACTGCGTCACGATCCTCCTGTCTCAGCCTCCCTGGCAGATGGAACCACAGGCATAACTACTGCACTTGGCTCTTCAGGTGCGCAGGACTCCAACCTGGGCCTCGCTCGTGGCCTTGGCCTGCCAGCCAGCACTCCCCAGTGCACACCATGGCAGCTGGGTCCAAACCTATTTTTTTTTTTCTAAGTTGATTTCTTCCACGAGAGAGATGGAGACACACACACACACAGACAGGTATCTTCAACAGGGTCCTCATTATATGACCCACCCCTCACCTCAACCAGCCTGGCTTGTGGACACGTGTGTGTGTGTATCCAGTGTGAACAGGGAGGCTGTTGGACGCAAACCCAGGCCCTTCTCATGTGGGGCACTTGTAGTAGAGCTGCAGCACCATCTAACTCCATGAGCTGGTCTTGCTTCCTTATGTATCGTTTCCCACTCCCTAGAAGTGAGAATAAAACAGTTCAGGAACCCTACCTGTCATGGGTTCTCCTGCTCCTAGTGCTGGGTAGAGGTATGCAGGAGGTGCTCAGTGACTGTTGCTAGTGCTTGGAGTTAGATGTGACTTACCTTCCGAAGTCCACCTTACTAGCCCTTTGACAGCACAGTAGTTAACCTTTCTGAGCTTCACTTCCTTCTTTTGAGAAATATGGAGGATTTCCCTCTGTCCCGGGCTTGCGCGTCGAGAATCCCATGCGCAACTCCTGGTGAAGCATCTGTGTGCAGGGGTGTTCACCTACAGGCGCTGCTGCTGTGTCGCAGAGGGTGTGGTCATTGTTTTTTTTTTTTTTTGGAGAGGTTTTCGCTATAGGGCGCGGGCACTCGCCAGACAGACAGAGAGAGACATAGAGACATAGAGACAGAAAGTGAGAAATCACCCCCCAGGGGGGATGGCCACGCCGCAATCCCTTCTCCTCCATTCTCCTCTCGGGATCTTGGGCATGCATGCACATGCACCTGGCGTGAGTTTTAAGCCACCGGGTCTGGGATGCGAACCGTGGTCAACTACATGGGAGTCCAGCGACATAGCCATTACGCTAACTGCTGGTTCCCAGGTTGTGGTCATTGTGACCGTCGTGCCACCTTGTGCCGGGCGGCTCACATGCTTGCTCAGGGGTAGCCAGGAGGCCTCCTGGAGCTGAGCCGTCCCGTTAGAGTAGCCGCGTGCCAGCCGGAGCTGCTGAGTATTGTAATGTGGCTCATTTGGATTGAGAAGGACTGCGAGTAAAAATATATGCTGCATTTTGAAGATTTTGTATGCAAAAAAGATTGTCAAAATCTCAGCATAATTTTAACATCGATTACATATTGAAATGATACTATTTGGGATATGTCGTGCTAAATGAAATACATTACTAATTTCCCATGATTCTTTTTACTTTTTTAAAATGTGGCTTCTGGACGATGTACGATGTCACCTGGGGCCCGTGCTATGTTCTCTGGGCAGTGCTGGTGTAGACCAAAGCTTCTGTGGGTTGGGGCCAGGCAGAGAGCATGGTGGCAGATGAGGCGTGGCCCCCAGCTCTGCCTTCTCCGAAGTGTGACCTTTGGCAAGCTATCAATAGTTCGTGCTTTGGGACCAGCAGTTAGCATGATGGCTATATCGCTGGACTCCACATAGTCGACCGCGGTTCAAGTCCTGGACCCTGCGGCTTAAACTCACGCTGGGCGCATGTGCGTGAGTGCCCAAGATCCCAGGAGGAGAATGGAGGAGAAGGGATTGCGGTGTGGCCATCGCCCCTGGGGGGTGATTTCTTGCTTTTTCTCTGTCTCAGAGTCCACTCAGTGCTCTCTTCGCTGCACTAGTAGTAAACCAGGATTCAAGAGTTTGCTGCCTCAGGGCCAGCAAGTGGTGTGGAGTTTAAGGCAGTGGGTCCTGCATGGCCAACTACGCAGCTCGAGTCCCAAAGCACACCAGGGCATCGCATGCACCCTCCAGGGAGGAGAATGGACTGTGATGTGGCCATCCCCCTGAGGGGATCTCTCTCTCTCTCCCTCTCTCTCTCTCATGAGCCCATATTTACTATAGCAAGAACTGAAAAAAAAAATAAATAAAAAGAATAAAAAAGAGTTTGCAGCCTTACATGTTAATTTTCTGTAGCCCTAGAGTACAGAAGACCTCTCTGAGCATCTCCTGATGTGGGTGAAGCCGGGACTGCCCCAGGCCAGCTCTGACTGAAGGAAGGCAGCTGCTCCTCTGGTTGTGGCCAGGTGCCCTCTCGTTTCGAGCACCCCACTCCCTGCTCTGGGACCACCTTATCCACTTTCTGCCAGCCCTAGAGGGAACTGCGGGCCGAGTCCCTGATCTAGGGAGGGGCCCTATAGAGACAAGGAGCTTCCCCCTGGGAATGCGGGCATCAGGCATCGCCCTGTCCTTGTCACCTGCTGCATGTGCCCACGTGGAGAAGGCCCAGGAAGGACGTCGTCCTGAGTTTTGCAGAGATCAGCTCACATCGTCGTGGTCATTTTCCTTACACACACCGGCCTGCGGGAGTCTCAGACATGCCGCCTGCTGAGGTGGCCCCGGGAGTGGGTGGTGCTCCGAGGTGGAAACCATCCTGGGTGGGTTACTCAGGGCAGCGGATCTTCCTCGCCAGCCCTCACTAGACCCGCGCTGCCACATGGGTGAGTCGGGGAGAGTGAGCGACTTCCCTGAGGTTGCACAGGCAGAGATGGCAGTGGGGGGCGGGGGTCCAGGCCAGCTCTGCTAACCCTAAAGGGTGCCAGCGCCTGTGAAAAGAGTGTAGGATGAGTGAGCCTAGAGATCTGATGTACGACATGGGGGCTGGGGTTGACAGAATTGCAGTGTAGTAGGGATTTTGTTAAATAATTATATTTTAGCTACTTTTGTCACAAAGGTAACTAGGTGAGATGATGGACAAGTTAACCTGCTTTGCTGTGGTAAACACTCTGCTTTCTACACGAAACCCATAATATCATGTTGGAAACCTGAAATACACACAATAGAACTTACTAAAAAAAAAAAGAGCACAGCCACCTTAGCCTGGCGTGCAAGCCCCCGTAGCCTGCTCCCACCCATCCCCGCCACGTCACTGTGCTTTCCTCTGGACCCTTGCTCATAGGCAATCTACAAAATCCTGCCGGCTCCCTACCTGCCTCCATCCCACTTCCTGTATCCTTCTTGGGCTCCCAGGAGAGAACTCCCCTTACCCCCCATTGAATGATGGAGTCCCTGGGGCTAAATTAAGCTGGGGACAGCCTGGGGCAGGTGAATAGACTGCAGGGTCATCCACTCCTCTGACTTCCCTCCTGTCTCCTTCTGCTGCCACCCTGCAGCAGAGTCTGTGTCCTGCTACCCCAACCA